AAATGGTGGCTCGGCCTTGGCGGAGCCACTGGCCCGACCAGATCGTTTTGACACGATCCATCCGTCAGAGGCTTTCTTGGTTTTCTCGGGTTTGACTCGTTCCATCGTTACGCGTATTTCATTGTTTTATTAATCTGTACGCTGTTTTGGTGGCCGATGAGCGTGCGGGCCACTTGGTGGTGGTCGGTGAGCACGCGGGGTACTTGGTTCACTGATTTGGTGGCTGATGGGTGTGCGGCCCACTTGACTTGGTTTGCTGATTTGGTGGCTGATGGGCGTGCGGGCCACTGGATGGTGGCCGGTGAGCACGCGGGCCACTTGGTTCGCCGATTTGGTGGCCGATGAGCACGCGGGCCACTTGGTGGTGGACGGTGAGCGTGCGAGCCACGTCATCCATAGTTCGTTGATTCACTGGTTAGCGTCGGATAATCTTCTTTGACTTAGATAATGGCGTTCATCACCTTCTCTCTGTCTCGAGCTATATTCGGGGACCTATAGGTAATTTTTGATGCCTACAAAGACTCTTAAGGATATGGTAAAAAGTATGATTGATCATTCTTCTTTACCAAAGCCACTCTGGGGAGAAGCATTAAAGACAACAGCTTACATTCTGAACAGAGTACCAAGTAAAGAAGTTGCTAAAACAGCTTATGAGCTTTGGACTGGTCGAAAGCCCAGTTTAAATCGTTTACACATTTGGGGATGTCTAGCTGAGGCAAGGCCTTATAGGGCAAATAAAAAAAATTAGACTCCAAAACAGTTAGCAGCTACTTTATTGGATATTATAAATGATCTTGGGGCTATAAGTTTTATGATCCCACACTCAGGACTATTTATGAGACGGGAACAACAATATTCTTTGAGGATGTTGAGTTTGGGGGGAGAAATAAAGTTAGAGACATTACTTTTGAGGAAGAATTGGCTTCAGATCCAATTCATACAGTCACTTTTGACAATATTCAGGTTCATATCCCTGTTATTGATCAAGAAGTAAATCTGGAACCTCAAGAAGATAATGTTGAACAACTCCCTGTTCTAGAAGAACAAACTCAACAGCCTCAAGAACCAGTGCTATTAAGGAGATCCATTAGAGAAAGAAGAAATGCTATTCCGGATGATTATATTGTATTTCTCCAAGAACGTGAGAAAAATAATGGAATGTTGGAAGATGATCCAATCAACTTCTTTCAGGCCATGAAAAGTTCTAACTCTCAAAAGTGGATTGATGCCATGAATGAAGAGTACAAGTCTATGCAAGACAATAAGGTTTGGGAACTTGTTCCATTGCCAGAAGGTGCAAAACTAATTGATTGTAAATGGATATTTAAAACCAAGCGGGATGCAAATGGTAATGTGAAGAGGTGTAAGGCACGTCTTGTAGCAAAAGGCTATACTCAAAAGGAAGATATTGATTATATAGAGAATTTCTCTCTGGTTTTGTTGAAAGACTCTTTCAAAACAATAATGACGTTTGTTGCTCATTTTGATCTTGAGTTACATCAGACGGATGTTAAGACTACGTTTTTCAATGAAGACATTGATGAAATGATCTATATGGTGTAACCAGAAAACTTTGTGTTAGGAGACCCAAAGAATATGGTTTGCAAATTAAGAAAATCCATCTATGGACTCAAGCAAGCTCCTCGTCAATGGTATTATAAGTTTCAACAAATAATTATCTCGTTTGGTTTAGAGATGAATATTATTGATGACTGTGTATGTCACAAATTCAGTGGGAGTAAGTATATTTTTCTGGTTCTGTATGTCGATGACATATTGCTTGTCACTAATGATATAGGCATGTTGCACAAAACCAAGAGATTTCTTTCAAAGAATTTTGAGATGAAAGATCTTGGGGACGCCTCTTTTATATTAGGAATTCAAATATATCGAGATCGCTCTAGAGTTATACTTGGATTATCACAAAAGAGCTATATCGATAAAGTACTCAAAAGGTTTGGCATGCAATACTGCAGACTAGGTGACACTCCTGTTGCTAAAGGAGACAAGTTTAGTCTCAATCAGTGCCCTAAAGGTAACCTTAAAATTTAAGAAATACAGAAGATTCCTTATGCTTCGGCTGTAGGAAGTCTAATGTATGCTCAGGTGTGTACGCGTCCGGATATTGCGTACATTGTTGGTATGTTAGGCAGATACTTAAGCAACCCTGGTATGGATCATTGGATAGCAGTCAAAAGGGTTATGATGTATCTTTAGAAAACAAAAGATTATATGCTCACATAGAGAAAATCAGAACAGTTGAAGGTCATTGGGTACTCTGATTCTGATTTTGCTGGATGCCAAGATAGCAGAAAGTCTACATCATGCTATATTTATATGTTAGCAGGAGGAGCTATATCATGAAAAAATGTTAAACAGACACTTGTAGCTTCCTCCACTATGACAGCAGAGTTTGTAGCTTGCTATGAGGCATCTAATTAGGGAATATGACTGTGAGATTTTGTCACTGGACTGCGCATTCTAGAAAATATTGAAAGACCACTTAAGTTATTTTGTGATAATAAATCAGCAGTTATGTATTCCAATAATAATAGAAGCTCGACTAAGTCAAAACACATTGACATTAAGTTCCTAGTTATGAAAGAAATGGTGTAGAGTGGACAAATATCCATAGAGCACATTGGGACAAACTCCATGATAACTGATCCTCTTACTAAAGGATTGCCACCCAGGGTCTCTCATGAGCACATTGCTCATATGGATGTTGTATTATTTGAGGATATCATGATTTAGTGGGAGTTTATAATTTTTTGGTGCTTTATGTTTGGTTGTTTTGTCTGATCAGAATAAAGTATTCTATTCATACATTCTGTTACATTATGTTTGGTATTAACCTCACTAAAGTTTAAGATAGAACCAGTTAAAAATAGACATGTACAGATCACATTGCATATAATTTGCATTCTACACATCCATGATTGATCTATGTCATTTGGTTGTATTGGTATATGTGATCATTGATGGGTTTAGTCACGATAAATGTGACAAAAACCGTTTTGATCCTATATTGATATAGTCAATGGACGAGACTGTTTAGAAATACCCTTATCAGTTATATCTATTTTTGAGCTCATAAGGTTATACCCACTTTAAGGAAACATATGGTGCCCAAGTGGGAGATTGTTGAATTTAAATCTAATTAAATCTATTTGTGGGCACATATGATACATCAGTGTGTGTTGCTATCTTTATAGCTAACCCGCATAAAGTAATCAATTAGTTAATTTGGGTCAATGGGTATTTAATTTACTCATGGACTAATTGTGTAGATACCAGGTTGTAATTATAATTTGATGAGGGGACGAATTATAAATATACAACATCTATAAATAAGGGGTTATGGCCCTAATCTAGGGCTACGTTATCTATTCTCTTAATCTAGGGCCACGTTCTCTATTCTCTTAATCACCATCTAAAGAGAAAATTTGGTTAGAGAGATCCTCAAGGTTAGAAGATCAAACACTAATTCAGATCCATGCAAATTCGTCATGGATTCAGGTACGTTTCCGTTCTTCTTGTTCTTGTTAATCTCTTTGAGTTAATCACGGCTATTGTGTGTTTTAGACCGATTAAAGATCAACAATTATGATTTAAGAAGCAAACATAACAACATTTTTTAAGGGGTTCCTTCTAAAAGTCATAAATAAAGTGTAACCACTTTGCCACTGTATTTTGATGATTTCAGTTCTTATGGACCCTGCAATTATTTCATTATTTTCTTTAGGAGAAAAAAAACTATTATGGTACAACCTATATGATTAGAAACATAGATTATTTGGAGTTTTGTTTTGGTACTGGTGGTGTAGGCTGGTAAACAATGATAATCATGTTTCAATTAAAAATCTTTAGAATCTTTTATAGTGGAAGTTGAAAATTTGATAGTTTATGATAGACTTAAAACGTATTAATGTTCAATGTCTAATCAACGGTTTTTTTTTTTTTTTTTTTTTTTTGTCTTTAGGACGATATTTTCTTCCAATATTTGTAAATATTATGGTAAATTTGTCATACAAGATAATTTAGTTCTTAAGTACCATGTATGATTGTTGATTTCATACCAGTAAACCATTTTTAAATTTGTCCTGTTTTAATAGAGCATTTGAAGAAATAATTTTCTGCGGCTGTTAAAGTTTATTTTTGCGATCTACAATCCTGCAGTTGTCAAAAGCCCTAGCACCTTGTTAATTTATAAAGAGTTAATTGCGAATAGACCTCTATAGTATCACCCTATTGCGGATGGAGCCCCTATATATAGTTCTATTTAGCGAATAGACCCCTTAATTGAATTTTTTTACCCTCAATATCCTTAAAAAGAATTAAGGAGGCTGATATATAGATCCCCTGTAGTTCTATTTATAAGGATAGACTGCCAATTGCTATTTTTTATTTTTTTTAAAAAGAGATAAAAAATTTAGTTAGGGGGTGTTTTCATAGTTGGACCAATACTATAGGGGTTTATTCGCAATTGAGTGATATTAATGGGGTCTATTCACAATTAACCCATTTATAAATAATATAAAAAACTGGAATAGTGTAGAGTCCACATTTTTAGCCAAAATCTTAGTTACTATTTATCATGAATATGTTAAACGATTACGTACCTTCACAAATAATAATAATAATAATAATAACAAATAAATAAATAAATATTGTAGGGGGTCAATTTAAGTTCATGACAAGGAAAGGCGCAATAATCCATATGTAAGCACCCTTCATTTCTAATTATACAGAAAAGCATATGGAAACCATATTCTGATCAATATATCTTGAACTTTTAATTAACTTGCAATCCTTCACATTACTATTGCGTATAAGATTGTGTGGCTTAACTTATAATTACAAGCAAGAGGTGCAGAATTTTTCTTTCCGAGAAAATCTCTCTTCCAATTAAGTGCTTATCCTAATATTAACCAGCATTTCTTCTATCATTCTCTATAAATTGATGGGAGATTTGCTCATTTTATTCAGTTGCATCTCTAGATCCCATGGCTTTTTCAAAGACATTCGTTGCTTGCCTCTTTCTCTTGGTTATTGCTGCTCGACTTGTTGAATCAGATGAAATCGTAAGTTCATTTCACTTCATTGCAAAAAGAAGCCTTAGTTTCATACATTAGTTTATTAATTTGATCCTAATTGCAGTTAGAGAGCGGAGGACGAAGTCTGCTGTCTTCCATTGGTAAAATTCCTTGCTCCTTGCTAGTCAAACATTTTAGCATTATCATCAATTGGAAAGTGTAATAGACACGTAGACTTTCCAAACGCTATATATTTTCTTTGGGGTACATTTTTGTTTTTGTGGAGCCTGATTTACTTTGGAGAATACATATCACGTGAACCTAATATTTGACGCATATAGAATTTCACCCTGAATGTGGGGAGGTGTCACCTCCCACTTACACCTTTACGTTAAATTTCAATTAGAGAAGTGATACCAAGGAGAAGAAATACCCCTCCTCAGTTAGGGTTTTGTTTATATGCTCCCAAGTTTATCCTATTTTCACATTCACCCTACAACTTTACGTATTTTCTAATTTATTCTTTTAAATTATGATGGTGTTGAATGAGAGGGATATACATACTGAATATAAAAGAATATAGCTGTAATTTAGCAAATATACAGATTTGAGAAAGTAAATATGCAAATAGAATAGAATTTGGGTTCACGTTATTATTATTATTATTATAAAAGACATGCTAATATTGTGATTATCACATAATTATTGCGTTCGATCAGACTGCGCTGCGAAATGTGAAGTGCGATGCAGCAAGTCATGGAAGCCAAAAATGTGTCACAAAACATGCGAGACTTGCTGCCACAGGTGCAACTGCGTCCCCTCCGGCACTTCAATGGAGACTCGCTCAGAGTGCCCTTGCTACGCCCAGATGAAGACCCATGGAAACCGCCTCAAATGCCCTTAATTGAAACAATGCTAATAAATTAGCCTTTTTTTTGTGTGAGATTGTGTGAGTGAATGGAACTAATGAAGATGGTGATCGTAAATTCGTAATTATGACTGTGTCTGTGTATTGGATTTGAAGTGTTTATATCTTTATATATGCATGTACGTATAGGTTAATCATACCATTTCAATAAAAAAAAAGATGTGGTTTTTTGTTAAAATGTTTCTAATTATGTATTGTAAGTGGTGGGAATTATGTATCTTTGCTGGACCTCTTTCAGACAAATTGATTGATGATATGCTAAAAATAATAATATGTTAATTGCACATAGACCCGTTTGTACTGATGTATTGAGCTTCCTAGCCCCTATAGTTTCATGTTGCAGGTGGAGTAACTAATTTCACACGATGGCAACATCTGTCAAAACTTCACGACCGGTAAAAGAATTGGAGAAGTTCAACCCGATTAATGAATCTATAGGAATGAAAATAAAACAGTAGGAAGCGCAAAACAGAGATAATACAGGGCTTCTATATATGTGCAACTACCCAATAAAAAAGCTCAATGATATCAAGATTTAGACCTTTATCGTAAGTACTAGATTTACGCAAAGTTGGTTGCACGTAGTTAAATATCAAAATAATTTATTTATTTATTTATTTTATTATTATAAATAAGTCAGACTTATTTTGATTATTAGATTTGATATAATTTTATTTAAATATTATAAAAAAATCAAGGTAATGGATTTTTGCTGGACCTCTTTCAGATAAATTGATTGATGATATGCTAAAAAAATAATATGTTAATTGCACATAGACCCGTTAGTACTGATGTATTGATATATAGGAATGAAAATAAAGCAGTAGGAAGCGCAAAACAGAGATAATACAGGGCTTCTATGTGCAACTACCCAATAAAAAAGCTCAATGATATCAAGATTTAGACTTTTACGTAAGTACTAGATTTACGCAAGTTGGTTGCAGGTAGTTAAATATCAAAATAATATTTATTTTTTATTTATTTTATTATTATAAATAAGTCAGATTTATTTTGATTATTAGATTTGATATAATTTTATTTAAACATTATTTAAAAATCAAGGTAATGGATTTTTGTACTAAACTGGGATCAATTAGTTAACTGGGTTATCTTAATTGATTCCCTAAGAAAAATATATCAATTGACATAATAATATCTTCAAGTAGAATAGTAAAAAAAATTTAAGTTAAATTGATACTACATGTCATATTCTAAAATCTACTAATCTCAAGCTATAATATGGAGTCAAGCATGAATAACAATATCATTAAGAACTGTATTTCTAGCAATAAAGAAACCACATTTCTTATTGCATTGAAAACAAAATTGCATAGCACTTTTGGACATTATAAGATTGTGTTTTATAATAAACAATCTAAAAAAGAAAACATTAAAAAAAGTACGATAAACATGGTACACACGCGCGCGGGCGTGCGCGCGCACTCACACATATAAGACATCTTAGCCTGCATTATTTGATAGACTTAAAATAATAAAAGGACAAAAACTAAAGATTAATGATAACTATAGTATACTTTGGGATGCTTTGAGTTGTGGATAGGATAAATGATGGTTTTCGAAACAGCGCGTGTGTGTGTGGGTAAATAGTTTTTGTTTGTGTAGTATCCTAATTAGAAGCCCAAGAAATGACCTTGGGCTTTTCTATTATGGCCCAGATACAACCCAAACCTTATTTTCTATCTATAAATAAGGGTTAATTTCTCAAACCCCCTTGAACTTTGGGAGATGTTGCACATAACCCTATTAAACTATGTTTATCTCACATAAACCCCCTAAACTATGAGGTGTCTCGCAAAATTCCGCTAAACTTTATCTTATACTACATAATCCACCTTCATGTAATTTATAAATAACTAAAATATTTTTGAGTGAAGAAAATCTCAAACTTCGTCGCTTTTCATTTAGAAGCAACATACGCCCTTCCCCAAATTTTTAAAGTTTTGCTCTCAAGAAAATTTTAGTTTTTCGCAAAATTACAAGCAATGGAGCTATACAAGATAAGGTAAAGTTTTTCTTGCGCGAAGGGGGAGGGTAGGGGGAGGGGGATTTTGAGAATTCCCATAGTTCAGAGGGGTTAAGTGACATAAACAAAGTTTAGGGGGTTTCATGAAATTAACTCCTTGAAATAATAAAATAATAAAGAGCAAAAGACAAGACAAGAGTCGAGAAATATATTAATATATACTTGAATTAATCAAATTATATTATTACTGGACCTGAACCGTTAATCACGCTCTGGGTCGGAGGCCACATGTCATCCACCAGACTGATTAGCCTGTCTCCTTAGAACTCAAGGATACAGTTGTACGAGCCTATAGAACAGATCATGTTCTTACTCATAATTAATATACATTAAAGACAAAATGTGTTGACAATCGTAAACTATAAAATAGATTGTATGGGCCCTCTAACATTACCTTTTTACTATAAGCAACCCTCAAGATTACTTTTAAAAATCTCTCGGGGCCAGGAATAAACAACTAACAAGTTTGAAGTGGAAGCTAGTGGAACGTTGTACATTCTTAAAAACCATTAATATTTACTTAATTTATTTAAAATGATATGATCTCATTATTAACTAACTACAAGGTCTACTATATTATTTTTTTTATTGTGTGTTTAAGGCAGGTAGAGGACCCAGGTGAATCCTCATCGCAATGAATGTTATACAATTTAAGTATAAAGGAAAAAAGAATGGTTGATTAATGGTGTAGTGGGCGAGGGGGAGACCCCATCAGTTTAAGTTGGGTTTAGATGTGGATATATTATAGATGGAGATGAAGAAGAATGGTTTTTGAAAACAGTGGGTGTATGCAGGTAATTAATATGGTTTTGTTTGTGTGGTTTTTTTCGTTCATTTTTAAGATATCTGTGGTCATATGGATATATATATAGCTATAGCATTGCTACTCTCTTTTAGTTTTGTGGAAGAGTTCGGGTGTAAAGAAAAAATATTAAATTATCTAATCCAATTAAAGTAGGATCATATAAGCAAACCCCATACATGAAATTTATTTTAACCAACACCCATATATAAGTATCACAATTGGCATTGAGATCTAAGATACGTGTGAAATTCTCTTTGATTTTTATACAAAGAGCATCTATTTAAATAATAATAGTATAATTAAATTTTATCAAATATTTAATCTAATTAGCAAAAAATAATAAGGGTACATACCTATTGAAGGAGATGAAAGTGTTACGAAAAATTGTTGCAATTTCTTGATCTGAAAAAAGATCAAACATACAATATAATTAATTACTTTAAAATAATCTAATTTAATCTAACAAAAAGAAAATAGAAGAAAATGTTGTGAAAATTATTGCTATTTCTTGATATAAAAAGGAAGATCAAACAGACAATATAACTAATTGCTTTAAAATAAATTATTCTAATCTAATAAGGAAAAAAATAAAAAAAGGCATGTACCTGTAGAAGGAGATGGAAGTCCTGTGGAAATTGTTGTAATTTCTTGCCTTATATATATTAGATTGTGATGTTACATATGAGAGGATAACAATTATAAATAAAGTTCTATTTAAATAGTAATAGTATAATTAAACTTTAAAACTAATTATGCAGTATCGTGAACTACTTGAACTACGTTGTGTCCTCAGATCAGAGTCGTTTGTTTTTATTTTCCTTTTTTATAGATAATATATGTCTACAACCACCACATATCTTGCATACTTAATAGATAGTATCAATTACAAGTACAGATGATTTTTATAATTATATCACGTTTGTTTTTTCAAGTTTATATTTTTATTAAACTATATCCTTATCTTCATACTCTGTGGATACTATAATATATTTTTCTTTTTTTAAATTTTGTCTCTTTAATTTGTTTGGTGGATTTTGCAGATACTACAACCGCCACATATCATACTCAATAGATACTATCAATTACAAGTGCATATAATTTTTATAATTCTATCACATTTACTTTTATTCAGGTTTATATTTCAATTTAAACTAAATCCTTATTTTCATATTATATATATCTAATAAGAATTCATCAATTTCTCAACTTATTTTAACTTAATGGATTAGTATATAAATTGCAAGGGTGTTTTGGTCTACCAAAAGATTTTTCCGAACTCGTGTTTTTAAAGAGAGTATGATATTCACAGTCTCACATTATTACTTTCATGCAACCCACATTATATTGGAAGTCATGAATTTAATCATATAAATCCCCCTCTCTTCTGATAGAGTGACCTAAGTCCAAAGTTGTACGGCCCAAAATCATGTTGGATGCTAGTTGGGTTTTTGTATTTGTTTCCGTCGAAAGTCACCTTAGTCATTGATTTCATTAAACTTTAAGCGTTACAAATGAATTCAAATAACAAAAGAACAAAAGATTACAACTTTCTTGAAAATAAACACAAGATCCGTTTATCGGCTCTTGCTTGCGTGGGTTCTTCGCCGGTGCCGGGGTTTATCCGTGGACCGCCTTAGATCTGGATCCGGTTGATGAAAAATTTGGCAG